TGGTTTCTGTACATCGTCACGGTAGAAATGCTTGATAAGCTCTGAGAACAGGGGCTAATTTAAACGTGGAAACACGGGGCCACCAGAAACCAGCCGTTAGCAGTAGGGCTTCCTAGCAAACACTGCAAGCACACTTTGTCAATAACTGTTAAAAAAAATCCCTTTACTTTACTCATAAGGCAAAAAATAAAATTCAAATTATTTAAACAGAAAATTGCTTAACCAGCTATTGCTCAACAGGCTAATGAAAATGTAAAATAAAAACGTCTGAACCAATATCCAGAAATCAGTTCTTATATTTACCGTGAGATACGTTCGTGCAGGAAGCGTAATGATCGGGGTTCCCGTGCAGAGTGGCACGCCTGCACTGTGTTTACCTACTAGATTAACTGGTAATCAGACAAACGCAACCACCCTGACCCAGCGGCGAGGAAAGACCTCTGCATGCAGAAATGTGAGTGAAAATGTTGCTCTATATACATTATATAATGCAAGACAAATAAGCAAATTAACTACATCAGCACTTTTCATAAAATGGAAACAGTGCTGGAAACAAATATAGGAATATGAAAAACTAAATCCAGGATCTGTCTGCAATATGAAGCTCTTATACGTTATTAAACAAGTTAATGTTGTTTGGTAACACAAGACTTCTGCTCCAATACTTCCTATTTCATACGTAACCCAACACCAGTTTTGTGCATTGTGACAAAAAATGAGATAATTCACTAGAAATGCATCTGAGTCTGAGCTAGAAAGGACTCATCTGTCAGTATAAACTGAAAACAGTAACAATAATGAAAAAAGCACCTTAAACCAAAAGCCCAGCCTGAAACTGACAGGCTGAGACATCAAATTGTGATAATGTTTAACTGGATAACAAGGCAGTGCTTCCAGAACAAGCCCGGGGGAGGGTCGGGGGGGGGGACAGGGGGCTCTGCTGACCACCCATGTGAGCAGCTCTGGACTTTGGGCGGAGGCTCAGCCTTTGGTAATTGGCCATAACTTCTGGAGCCGTTTAATCGCTTAAGAAACTGCCGTTTCCTTTCCAAATGCGAGTCTGTTCCTCTCCACACACACTCACCTACAAATCAGAGATTCAGAGCAAAGCCAATGGCGTTAATGACACCTGAGCAGTCCCCACGCACACCAGACACACTCAGGGGGCCGCAGCGAGCGTGCAGCTAACACAAGAGCGTCTCCTGGAGTAAAGTGCGGTGCACGGTCGCTGCCGCCACCACGATCTCCCCGTGGCCACGATGCTCAGCACGCCATCGCGACTCCGTCGCCGCTCCTGTTCAAACACGCCAACATCAGCTCAACGCAAACAAATTATGAAACATAACACATGGGGTAATTTGGAGATCCGTTCGTGCTGTTGGATTGTGTCAGTTACAGTAAAACAAGAAGCCCTACTAAAAGCAAAGCTCTCCGATTCTTAATCGTCTTTGTGAAAAGGCTGCCGTTCCTGGGCTGTCAAGGCAAAATTTACTGCATTTTACTCTGGCGTCTCCCAAAACACAAAGAAAACATAATCAGTCGTGGTTATTGTTTTGGGGCATGAAGTCACAGGGTATTTTCGCAGAGTGAGATGGGGCAGCAGGGAGTGAGATGGGGCAGCAGGGAGTGAGATGGGGCAGCAGGGAGTGAGATGGGGCTGCAGGGAGTGAGATGCTCCCCATCGCTCCTTCCTCTGGGTACAAATCCCTTCTCTGCCCTCCACTGTGGAAAAGAGCCTCAGACCACAGATATGTATAATGCCTTAATGGTTAAATGCGGGAGACCCAGTCACAGGCCGGTCAGTGCTGGCGAGCAGGAAACAGGCCGATTGATTACGGAAGCGAGCAGATAAAGGGCAGCAGTTCTTAGATACCATATCCTTCACATTCACGGTAACACGATGACAGCATTGCTAAGCCGCGGTCGATCTGTGTGCCGCAGTGACCACACTGTACAAGAGCACCGGCAATCTTTCACAGGGAAGTTACCAGTGGCTAAGACTGAGGTTGGATATATGTTCTTCACAGTTAAAACACTTACTGAAACAATTGTTTTGGTGTGGCTCCATTTTGACTTAATTTGGGTTTCCATGATGCTACGTGTCCACTGGTAAGTTTTGACGTTCAGCTGCTAAATCATTTCTGTGAGGTAACACAAGTTCTGTTCATCCATTATTATCCTGCTAGGAGCCGCTAGGTGTATTCCTCCAGCCAGGGGGCGCCAAACGTAATCACGCCGCCTTACATCAGCAATCGCCGATGACACAGGTGAGGTTAAGACCCACAGTTTTCCCCCCCCCAAAATTCAGCTCCTTCGTGGTATAATCATAGGAGAGACTGGGAATATGAAAGCCCCCCCATCCCAGGAAAATTCCTGAAGGATTATCTGGATGAACCATCGTGACTCTGCGACATCTGCTCATTTTACAGTGTAATTATAAATCTGCACTGTGAGGTTCTCATCTGCTGGGCTTTAGCCGATCCTGATGTTCGAACATCAATGCTGTAATTTACCACAGTAACACAAGTGTCATTAATGCACCCAGAAGCACAAGTGATGCAATTCAGCCATGTTTTCAAAAGGACACATCTATTTAAAGTTCAATCTTTCCTAACAAGTCATAAACCACACTTTGCTAGTTGATTTGCTAGTTAATTTGGTTTTGAGACGTGCTAAACGTTTGTGAAAGACCAGCACCTGCAGAAGTTTCAGGAAACAGGCCCCAGGACCCCTCATACAGCCAGAGCCCCAGCTAATGCAGCTCATTTCCCAGAAGTCCCTGGGGCCACAGCTTGGCCACCTATGAAACATCCTCATGATGTCCAAACAGCCATGTACACCCTGTGCGTCTTTGGGAGACCACGTCATGTCCAGTCCGCCCATCTATATCCATATAGGGCAGGCCAGAAAAGCTAAAAAACTGATAAATTCTCATCGCATTTTAATGGACCTCGTGAAACAGACGTTTCGATCTGCAGTTTTTAAATTACATGTAATTGAGAAGTTTCCTTTCAACGCACTTTTTCATTTTTAACTAGACAGTAAACATGAAATATATCTCTGAATGCTAAAACCTGCCTGAGTCGCTTTCGAACAGTTATATGTGGACAAATAAGTTCAATACAATTTCGGTGCATACGTATGTACATTTTAAAATGTTGCCCACATAACATGAAACAGCCATATAATACGGTATTATTGTTTAAATTATGCCGATATGACATAACGGCGCTGTGCGTATTAATCAGACAGGTGCGCAGATATCTGCGGGCTTATCAAATAAACCGCCGCCCCGCTGCACTTTACACACTTTAGTTAAACTTTACACTAAAAAGTTGCAGAAAGGGAAAGCAGCGACCTTATAATGCGTTTTACAAAAGGAAAAAAGCGAACGCATGCCGACTGATTAACGTATTATACAGGGCTATTATTAACTTGGATTAAACAAACATGCACGCGGAAAGACTTTACATCGACATAAGTGCAAAAAGGAAACCAGCAAACCGCAGAATGAGCAGCGAGGAAAAGGGGGAGCCGCTCGCCTTTCGCTACGGTCCGTCCTCCGCCGGTAATGGCTCAGTAAAGCGCTCTGCTGGCCCTCGGTTCTCATCGCCAGGGTTATTCCCTCCATCGCCCCGCGGCTACTACAGTAGGTCGCCCGTCATGTGATTCCTACGGCGGCTGTGCACCGATCCGCGAGGGTCCGCATGGTCAAGAGCCAAAAATGCGATCTGAGAGCTGAGGAAACACACAGCGGGTTTAAACGGTATAGATGTGCAGCTAATCAATTGAATAAACTGTAAGTGCAGCAACCGCCAATCTTTCCAAGATGCGCTAAGTTGGATGGATGGATTTATGGATGGATGGATGGCCAGGTAATGCAGTGGTCCTCATAGACGATTGTCTGTTCTGCCTATAGCTATAGTCTGTCCTGGATGGTTGGATTGCAATTATGACCAGAAACAAAAACAATCAAAAACCTTCAGAGGGAGATTAGTGTATTAGCTTTAAATATAAATGCAGTGAAATTTGAAGCAATAAATATAGCCCATACAGTATATATTAATCCATCTATCATCCATCCAGTTATCCTGGTCAGGGTGGTAAGAGAAACTTCCCTCACGAAGCAAAGGGGACAAGGCAGGGGGACACCCTGGGCAGGATGCCTGTCCATCACCGGGCACGGGGCAGGGGGACACCCTGGGCGGGATGCCTGTCCATCACCGGGCACGGGGCAGGGGGACACCCTGGGCGGGATGCCTGTCCATCGCAGGGCACGGGGCAGGGGGACACCCTGGGCAGGATGCCTGTCCATCGCAGGGCACGGGGCAGGGGGACACCCTGGGCAGGATGCCTGTCCATTACCGGACATGTACACATACATATAGAAGGGCGGGACTTGGACCCACAGCCATGGAGGTGTGAAGTCGCAGTGCAGCCCTCCGTATATATAACAGAATAATGACGTATTAGCATGTAGTCAGTAATGCTTTTTAAATGTTTCATGCTCATGCATACACGAAGGTTAGTAGTGTTGTACTATACAGTATTAAATTTGAACAGTGCGCGCATTTTGGGAATTTTTATCAACATTTTGTCGCCCTCCAGTGGCTGAAGGGCATCCAGCGAGTCGTACTGTAACTTAGTACAGTACAGTTAAATGGAAACATTTACATATATATTTTTTTCTGAATAAAACCGCGACCGAGAGCCGCAGCTGCGAAGGACGCATAAAATAATCTTTTAAGTGGCAAATCTTTTAATAGCCCCTTTTGAAGATGTGAAGAATGGGTTTTCTGCTCTCAGTGTTAAATAATTAAGGGGGACACAGACCCCGAGCCAAACAGATGTTAAACAGATGTTTAAGGAAGCGCATTTTGGGATAATATAGGCTATATAGTCAAATCTATCTATCTATCGGTCTGTCTTTTATAGACCTATTGTTAGACCTATTATAGACCTATGCTGTTTTCCGTCAAGAATAATACACTTCATTTCACTGAGAGCTTACATATGTTTATTATGATGATTTTCTCGGAGTTCGCGACAGTAAAAGCTGAGCAGCAATAGCATGTCTGGTCATTTTTTAAAAATGTTTGCAGCTGTCTTTAAAGACAAACAAAATTTTTCCTATGAAATATATGTATATTATTGTGCGTACTCATAGTTATAATAAATGGAACATTGTTTAAATAAAAGCACAACAGAAGAAAAACCTGCTTTTTATTTCGAAATGTAAAATTTCTTACAATATAGGCCTACATTTCAGTTATGCTTGCAAAAATATATTACAATGATACAACATACGTGTTGGTGTGCAGTTATAGCGATTATGTAATTTAAGCCACGCAAACCATAAATGAACCATAAAATGTGTTTCAGTGTAACTTCTGATTAAATCAAGTCACCGACAGACCGACAGACAGTAGCTACTCAGCGTGATTTATTGCAACGCTCGCATTCCGCATGTGCACTTCTCTGACTGACCAGTAGAGGGTGTTTTCTCAAACTTTAATATTTGTTGTATACTGCGGCGGTACTCTGGTGCCAGATATCTGCTGGTGTCTATCACATCAATATATGTTACTGTATGAATGTAACTTTACGTTCACATTTTTTTGGTCATTATACATTGAAGAGAAATTCCTAAAATAAAAAACCTTGTTGCCTTCATGATTAAGATCTGGTTGTCCCCTAATGCTACTGGATGGTGCCTTTGCTTGTGAATTAGGTTGACGCGACCTCGTTTTTCCTCTTGGTCTGCACTTTGTAGATAGTCTGGTAGCCATCGTCCCAGGAGTAGAGCTGCTTGTCTTTGGGGTGGTACCGCATGCTTGAGTGGCTCGAGTAGCGTTTGGGGAAGAAAAAGACTGGGCTCTCCGGGCTGTGGAAGGTGTCATGGATGTCGTACATGCACTGCACGCTGGAGCGCCCACCAGAGCGTGAGTTGTACACCACGTGGAGCGTCCCGCAGATGAGGAAGGACGCCTCCGCATCCCGGCTCTTGCACTCCGTGTCCCAAGTGTGCTCTACCGCCAGGCTGGACCGGTCCAGCTTGGTGATCACCAGGTTCCCTCCGAAGTCTGGGTCGGCGTGGATAGCCCAGAGGCCCAGCTCATCCACGGCCAGGTCGATGATGGTTTGGGGGGTCAATGAATAGGTGGGCAGCCGCCCAGCCCCCGGCAGCAGCATGTTGTCGCTGAAGGTACCATTGCGGATGTGCACCTTGACAATCTCGTTGACTGTGCCAGCCTTGTGGTAGTAAACGAAGCCATGGTACACGGCGTGGCCTGTCCCCTGCCAGGGGAATGGCAGCTGGACCATTAGCGCCCCCTGGGTAGAGTTTTGCTTAGTGAAAGCTTGCAGGTTGCTGAACTCCAGGAAGGTACTGTTCCTCGTCCCGCTGAAGAAGTAGACCTTGGATGAGCCTTTGCTGGGATCCTTCATCCAGGAGCCCTGGGCTTCCCCTGCTCGCTTCAGGATCTTCAGGGACTTTACACCCTTGATCACCACATCACAATCTGTCAGTGTAAAGATGCACACATTTCATTTTGTCAGTGAGCCAAACACTGTGTTTGTGCAGCTGTTTGCTTGGAGCTCAACTACAGTGTTGGATGGAAGGTGACATTTTTTGGTGTGTCTGGAATTCTGAAGAAGTCATTAAGAATTGATAAGAACCTGCAGATCCAGCACATTTTTAGAGACTTTGTTGTTTGTTTTCATTTGTTTTTTTTTTGTTGAGAATTTTAATGAATTATCTGGCTTTTATATGAATTCCATTATAAGAAGACAAAAAGCTGTATTAAAAACCTACACCATGCCATTTTCATTGACCTGTTCTCCAGTGGAGATGTGGTTGAGGTGTTTTAATGGCACAAATTCACCTGAACCACAAGGCTTTGAGCTGTGGAAGGAAGGCAGAGCACTACTAGGAGTACAAACTCCAGACAGACACAGCTAACAGACTGTGCGCTGAAATCACTTTCCAGAAAAATCAGCTTATTGCTTCTGATGTTTTTTCTAATGCATAATTCAGACAAAAAATCAGATATAAATGTTTGCATTTCAGAGATTTGCTTATCCGGGACACGGGAGACATTCATTACCCAGAATGCTGTGCACAGAACCAAGAGACTGATCTTGTTTTTGTTAGCTGTTCACACAGTGTAATGGGTAAATGTTAAGTCTAGTACAGCTCTGATATGAATACACTTTTCACATATTCTAATGCAGGGGTCACCAACTCCGGTCCTGGTGAGCTACTATCCAGTAAGTTTTCTATCCTACCTGGCTTCTGATGAGCCACACCTGCTCCTGGTATTTACCTGAGAACTAGTGTGGCTCATCAGAGGCCAGGTAGGATAGAAAACCTACTGGACGGTAACTCTCCAGGACCGGAGTTGGTGACCCCTGTTCTAATTCATAGGCAAAATAGGCTACAACTAAATCTTCTTACAACTAAAATATTTATCTAGCACGTAAGTTATATCACTGAATTTACAGATGGTTCATTCATGTTTTTTTAATATTAATAACATAACAATTAGAGCAGATATTGCTGCATGGATGTGCCTGTTGCGTTTGGGTCCTCTACACCCTAAGCTTCTCTGTTTGACCACAGGTCACCCCCTGTATGTTCTCACTACCTGTTTTCTGCTCCAGTTTGCTCTTGGTCTCCCTGTGAGCCTCCTTCACCTGCTCCTCCAGGACGGCCTCGTCGACGTCCACGCAAGGCTGTAGGGGGCTCTGCTGCTCCATGTACTCGATGTCCCTCTCCGTCCGCTCCACCCTCATCACCACGCTGTCAATCAGGCTCTTCATTTCAGCCTTGAAGACGCCCAGGCCGTCCAGGTGACCACGCAGGTGCTTGCTGATGTCGTATAGCTTCTGCTCGTATGTCTGTACACTCTGGTCGCATCTGTTAACGCGGTCCTGGGGCCGGGGGAAGGGGGGGGGTGGTGGTCATCACAGCGCTTAGCAAAGACACTTCTGCTTTAAAATCTGCTTTTTGTCATCACCCTGCTACCCCCATACCCACACCATTTGTACAGTATCAGGAACTTGTGTGATTTTATGTGAAAGTATTAGCTGGAAATATTGTATGTTAGAAAGGAAGAACACATTCCAGGAAAACACTAATCACATCCGCTTAATAAGGTAGATTCTTCGCAGACTTCAGAAGCTTGATCTGACGTGACTGCTGAAGCATATGTTCCACTCCTACCTCGAGTTCGGAGAGTCGCCTGTCAAAGTACTGCATCATGACCATCTCCTGCGTCGTCCTCTGAGCGTGTCCGATCTGCAGGGACAGGAGCACGGCCGCCAGCAAAACCCACCGTCTATACATTGCGAGGCTATGGCGAGGGGGGACACACACACACGCTGTTACTGCAAGTCACAGCTCAGGCAGACTCAGCCCAGGAACTTTGTCGTTAGCTTCTCTCACTTTCGAGCGCTCTCGGCTAGCTGAAGCCTCCCCACATCTGGCTGAATCTCCCAAAGAAGCCACTTCCAGCTGATCTTACGGGAGGCGGTATTACGCAGGCGGGCGGTCGCCTCACTCCAAGAATGAATGTGTTCCAGATGTGAGTGTGTGGCTCCGCTTGCAGATCCCCATCAGAAATGGCCGCCTCAGAAGGCTCTATAAAAACCAGGTGACATCAAATAAAAACCAGATTTGCTTGGTGACGATGGCCGGGATTCACCAGTGAGAATAGCCAGAAGACAGCCATGTGACACAGACAGATCAGAAAATGCGAAATATCAAGGCGTGCTTCAGCCTCACGCAAAAAGGGGGGCGGGGGCAGGGAAACAAACAAGACCATGAGAAGTCAAAACAAGAAGGCGAGTATGGGGAGGGACACGGGCAGACAGGAGGAGTGACGTCAATGACCGGACCGGGGATGACAAGACAAACAGGTACTTAAAAACAAAGGCTAACGAGGGGTAACAAACAACAGGTGTGGCTCATTAGAGCCACGCCAGGGAGGAGACAGGAGGGTCAGGTGGACGTGACGGGCAGGATGTAACACATATGACCAAGTGGTAGAAAGAAATATCTGGCAGATAGTGATACTGCCAAGGCTCACTGCACAAACAGGCCAATCATGAGAGCAAGAAAAGGGCTTGCGTGCGATGAACTAATACTGTTACGTTCTGTTCTCTCTCCCCAGTCATTTCTTCTTATTTATTTCGTAAGAAAACGGCCTTTAGACAGAGGAGGGATTTCTCAAGCTTGATGCCCCAGCCCAGATCCACTGTAATCCATTAGCAAGCAACTGTTGTATTGTTGGTTCAGACCGGCACTGTGAACCCAAGCCTCTGGGTAACAGATACAGAGGCGATCCAGGCCGCCGTCGCCAGTGCAGGCTTCTAATCATCTCTTATGTGCCGTTAGCCCTCATCATGTGGCTTCATTGCCCCTCTGAGCCACACACATGACCCCCCCCCCCACAGTTTGTGTGTGGTTGACATGCTCTCTTAAGAAGTCCGTGTCCCACTGTCCACTGGATCAGAGCCAGAATAATGCCTCGTCGGCCCTTGAGAATGTAAACACACATTATTATCATATTATTTCTTTGACAGTTTATTTCATTTTGCTTATGAAGAGAAATTCTTAGCTGGATAAGAATTTTATTTGTTTTATTTTTGTATTCATAATGTTTGGCAATTTAAACTTCCCAAACCCATCTGGACGGCAGGAATCTATCCGAGGGCCTATTCCAGAAGCTCCATATTTCTGTACTTCCCGTTAGAAGAGAGAGAAAAGGAAAAAGGGGTGTATGATGGTGCAGTGGTTAGCACTGTTGCCTCGCACCTATGGGAGCAGCGTTCGAGTGTCCACCCTCTGTGTGTGTGGACTTTGCATGTTCTCCCTGTGCTGTTGTGGGATTGCCCCCACAGTCTAAAAACATGCAGGTGAATATAGTTAAATCACTTATTTGCTCCTGAGTCACAAGCCTATTTTCTTACAAAAGAAATGATTGACAGGAGAGAACAGTGCATGACAGAATATTTGTTCATTGCACGCAAGGTGAGTATAGTCACCCATTTCTTTGTAGGAGTGACTAAATGGTGTGTCAGCATGTCCTGAGATGGGTTGGTGCTCCATCCTGGGTTGTTCCCTCCCTTGCACTCATAGGCTCCTTGAACCCCCGTGACCCTCTATAGGACAATCAGTTACAGATAATGGATGGATGGAAAGAATAGTTGGGGTCACTATGCCTCAGCCATGATGAACCCAGAAGGCCGAGCTTCTGGTGACAAGAACGTGTTTCTGGGTTCAGCACCCTGCCAGAGATATCTTGCAAGCTTTGCATAGCTTTTCCTCAGTTAATCTTTGAAGCAAAATCATGTAGCAGCTGCTCCTGGTCTTGATTATTTGTACGTTGGCCAATCTGTCCACCAGAGGGGGCCCTTTCACAAACCTAGATGTTAAACCTTGCATTATTTCACTTTTTATTATTCTTATCTTATGTGTACCTGATACTCAAACATTGTGTGACGTATAATGTGTAGAATATTTGGGCTGTTACTTTGGTATTTCTATAATATGATTTTCTTTTTTTCTATTGTACAGTATATGATCTATTTCCTACCACATATCGACCTGCCTATGAATGCACAGGCTCTTAAGCTTATTAACCAAGATACAATGATTTTCAGTTTTAGTATAAATTTACATTTCTTCTTAATTTGGTTGTTTAGCTAGACCTATATCAAGGAGTAAGTACTGTACGAAATGAAACGCAAACAGTCATTAGAGAAAGGTGTGTGGCCCTGTTAAATTTAAGGTGCCGTTTTTGCTCATAGGTACTATAACAGAAGCAGCTATGATTTCGGGACCCAAATGACACTCAATTGACTGTAGTTTCTATTGTGAATTTATTGTGTTTACACAGACACCCCCAAGCTACACCCCACCCGGCGTGCCAGTCCACTGCAGGGCACACACTCGCAGATATTCACACACATCATTGTAGAGACAGCAGGTACCTTAACTACATGCCTTTGTACCGTGACAGGACACCTTAAACCTGGCTGCCTGGGGCTACAGTGCTTCCATCTGAGTCACCACGCCCCTCTCTTGTTATTATATTAAATGCATCAAATGTCCAGCCTCTTTTCATAACACAGTGCCTCTTTGTGCAATGAAAGAGTCAGATGTTCTGTGTCTTGCTGAATTACCTTAATTCACTAAAGATGACAGACTTTCCCTTTGTCTTGTTGTCAGGCAGCAGTAACACAAAAGGTTTTTATAGTCTTGGCGGTAAGTAAAGAGGCAGGAAACATGCATTTCCAAGGTTACTGCTATTAGATCAGGGCTGCGCAATTCCAGAGCTGGAGCGGCAGAATCCAACACAGTCTGCAGATTTCCCTGTTCAGAAACACCCACTAAACCCGGTAATTAGCTGATTAAGACGTGCCTGAGCAGGGAGATCTATCTGCGCACTGTGTTGGATTCAGGTGCCCCAGCTCTGGAATGGCGCAGAAAGGTGTATGGAGGACTGCAGCTGGGGAGTCCTATATCAGATTACTGTACAGAAACATTGGAACATACCTGCAGTAACAATATACTGTAAAATCCTGCTATATATTGTTTGATTCAAGGTTTTTTTTAAATCTTGTTAGCTAATGGAAAAATGACCCCAAACACGGCACCTCGCTGCCTGATTCATGTCGGCCTGTTTTACACTATTAAATTACACTCGATATGAGGGAGGCTGGCTGCCTCCAGCGAGCTGCAGCTCACACGCGGATAGAAAGGTTGGGGATTAATTATATTTATTTACTGTAATACTCACAATATCGCATGTAGGGTGACATTTGTCACACGCTGGCTGAAGTCCATTGTCTCTACAATGACTGAAATGCTATAGGATACATGCAGATTTATAAATGTGGGACATGTCATGTGTGGCGTATTGAAATCAGCTCTGCAGTGTCCGCCGGGGGGGTTATTAAATCACGGTACCTGAAATGTGGCAAGAGGCACTGTGCAGCTGCGTGTTTCTAACCATTTCATCTGGGGGGGGG